CCGTTGGTGGTTTTGAACCCCCGCGTGGAACGTGAGATTCCCTCATCGTCACCGTTGACGAATAAGAGTTCCAGCCACAACGGCGTCGGTTACCTAGCTCGTTTTGATTTTCACACGTGATTTTTCACAGACGGGGCTTTGCAAAGGCAGTCTGGCTGATCAGTACGGATAAAGCGTAGAGCATAAGGCATTTGCTGTTGATCAATCCCTACTTGGAATGCGGCGTGCAGTTTACTTCCATTTGATCCCTACTTGGGATGCGGCACGCATTCTACTTCCATTTGTACATTCGTAGTGGCGTTTGAATGCGATGTGGCCTATACAATGACTTGCGGGGGCCAGCCGATGTACAAGTCAGTGTTTTTTATCCTCCCAGACAAGTCTGGTACCAATTAACCGACCCCGGAGGGATGGAAGGCTTGGTTGGCCCGACCAGTACAGAAACGGTCGAAAAATGGAGTCCTTTAGTGAAAAAGAAGGGTAGATCCGTTCAAAAGTATCGTGTACCATCAAGCCATCGATGTGCTACGAGGAGCGCGATTGCTTCCGCTATCATCGCTGCTGTGCTTCTTCTACCTTCAAAGGCTGGCCAGGCGGTCAACTGGAGTCACACGTTTGAAACAAAAACAAATTGGACGTCTCATTCAGCACGTTGGCATTGATTCCTTACAGAATGATCTGGCTGAAGTTAAGGAATTTGTGTAGCCTGTCCAATATTACAGTAGCTATAATGAGGCTGACGTTTCGACCTCTGCGCCTTTGTCAGAGCCTAAAAAATCGTAAAGCAGTTGAGAAGTGAGCCACGATTCTGAAGAAAATCCCTCCAGGCTAGCAAACAAACAGCCGGTATTGATCCGTATTGATCCAGGAGTGCCACAAGGCTTACCTAGATCTTTGTCGATGAGGCGCAAGATCGACCACCCAAGAAGCAGACTTTTGCGTGGAATGAGCGAACCTATCTCTCCTCCCTGACCTCACCGAAACTCAAAACCTACAGAGGTCGAGGAAGGGCGCCAGGTCACGGGTTACGGCTACACACTCTTCTTCCTATTGATTTTGTGGTCCCTGATCTGGCTGAGGGTTTTTGCTTTTTACTAAATATTCATTTTCTCATGAGGTTAATCTAGGGATCGAGATGGTTTAGTGGCAAGTAGCGCTATTACCAGGCAAACGGTCCAAGTGTCGAATCTCGCATAGGCCGACCAAGTCTTCCATCCCTTCGGAATCGGTTAACTCTAAACTTGTCCGGAGATAAAAACACTGAATTGTACAGCGGTTCCCTCTTTGGACAAGGCGAATCACATTCAAGTGCCACTACGATTTTGAGTGGGAGCGGAATGCGCTGCTTATCTAAAAACGGGACGGACTAACGGCAAATGCTTTATCCTTATACTTGGCAGGTAGTGGA